ACTTAAATATTTAAACACATCAATACTGAACTGATTTCTGCTTTTCACTAATCAAAGTGCCCAGGAGAGCAATGTGGCCTATTGGCTTCTTGTTTTCAGTTGAAAAAGATCTTTTGCAGTTATTATTACTTAGGCAGGGGTTCAAAAATACCTTGGTCTGAGGTCCTGGACCTAAAGTTTATGGGGAAGACTATAGCTATATTATCACTCTCTACTTCATCTGACCAGTTCACAAAAATATTTGAAAAGTATAAAATAAAATTAACCACTTTAGAAGTATTGCTTTCTTGGCAGCATCTTGAGCACTAATTTACTCAAGAGTACACATCACACTGATTACCATTAAGTTCAAGTGTTATTGCAGCCCGGAGGACCGGGCTGCTCTATACATATAAGTTTAAGTGTTGGTATATGGGGATTGAGGTGGGAGAAGTTATTCAGAATTAAAGGTTTTCTAAACATTAAAAAGACTGTTAATCAGAATGTTCTTTCCCTTTATAAATTACGAGATACACAATAATTTTACTTCCATAAAGTGAATCTGTAAAAATATATATGTTTTTCATATTTAATATATAAAGTTGCTTATCATTTACTATCGAAAAAATGACAGGTCCCTTTTTTTAGAACATCGAATTTTACTTATCGCATAAAAACGTAAAAACGTACTTTACACAGTTCATGTTTTATAATCTTAAAGTGAAAGACATTTTTGAAAATAGGTGATGCATGTGTCTGGTTTCAAATTATATTTTATGCAGCCAACAGTTACTTGAGGAATTGATAAAGTTTAAAAGGGTATCGTTTTTGTTCGATTTTCATCCGACTATAAGTTTTCAAAATTGTCTCTACTATCGTCTCCATCATTTAGACGCATGCCTTTTTCACACATATCGAAGTGGTTTGATGATCAAGACTCATTTCCATTGTTTACTTTATTTATTTCCCGGGCGACAATTGATGGTTACATCAATGTTTTCTTGTTGAAAAGTATGAAACAAGTATAAAACCTCGGTTTGATATAGCATTGGGTTGGCAGTGTGTAACCAAAGGAGGCATGAGATGTGTAAGCAGTCAACAAACATTATTTTGATTTTTTTTTGCAAATCTTTTTGCAAATTTCACCTTGGCCATAACTTTTGAACAGTTGATATTAGGGCTTTCATACTTTACAAGTGTATTTTTTGTGACAGGACCTTCCAATGGGTTACAGCCATTCTATTCTTACCCTTTGACCTTGACCTTTGACCCACTTTTAATCTTGGCTATAGCTTTTGTATGGTTAATACTATGACTTTCATATTTCACAGTTGTACATGTACTCTTTGTGTCAACAACTTCTCTGGATACCAACAATTTTTACCTTTTGACCTTGACCTTAGTGTATGGCCTACTTTGTGAAAAACTCCTAACTGGTCATAGCTTTTGAACTGTTGGTTCTAGGGCTTTCTTATTTAGATGCCTATTTCTTGTGACAAGATCTTCCTTTGGGTAGAAGCAATTTTGACCAATGACATTGACCTTAGAATCTGACCCACTTTTTAAAACCTTTAACCTTGGCTATAACTATTAAATGGTTGGTGCTAGGGCTTTCATATTTCAAATGTGTATTTCTTGTGACAAGACCTTCTCTTCGGTACCAACAGTTTTGACCTTTTGTCTTTGAACTTGGAGTTTGACCTACTTTTGGAAAACTCTAACCTTTTCCATAACTTTAGAATGGTGCTAAGGCTTATAAATTTTACATGTGTATTTCTTCTGACAAGACCATCGCTTGGGCACCATTAATTTTGACCATTTTTCCTTGACCTTTTGAAATAACCTTGCCAAAACTTTTCACCAATTGGTGCTAGGGCTTTTATATTTTACATATTTCACATATATTCCTTGAGACAGGGCATTTTTTGAGTTCCACCAATTTTGATGTCTTGACCTTCACCTTGGAGTTTGACCATCACTGTAAGAAACTTAAACCTTCGCCATAAGCTGGCATATGGGGGCATTAGTGTTTTACAAACGCATCTTGTTATGTAAGCTTATGCACTGATATGTAATTTGATGAGCATCTGTCAACTGTGACCAATTTTTTTTTTACTTTGACCTTGGCAATGACCTTTGACTTTACTTTTTAATGTGTATAAAACTCACTTTGAAAGAAACTGTTTAAAATATTTTCATCAAACTTCATACATAATACAAATTTTCATGTTGCATTACTAGTGAACCCTGGGCAGGGTAATTACATTAGATTAGAAGGGGGGAGCAGTCTTGTCAAGGTTTATACACAGATATCTTTTTAAATTCTGGATTTTCTTTTCTTTACGATCATGTGTATACATGTATTATTATTACCTGTTTTATTAAACTATTGTTATTATAATTATATTTTCTATATATAATACATTTACATATTTTGAAGAATAAATCTAAAGAAGAAATGAACAAGCATGTGGTTGATACCAAAGTCTCCAAACCCTTAGGAGTAAAAATTCATACAAAGAAAATTGTTGGGAAGGAGGAATTCAAATGTCGGGCAGAGGACCTATACAGGGCCCTTACTGATGTGCAGGTAAAGAAATGTGAAAAATTTTATTTAATTTTTATTTTCAGTATATTGGACTAATACTTACATGTTTCTTCACTCAGAGAGAGCTCTTGAAAACAATTTATGTCCAGTAATTCACTGTTTGCCTTGATGACAAAAATACTTCATTATGATTAAATTCAGCAAATCTCTGATGTTTTTTAAAAAAACAGTCCTTAGTATAAGTGTCATTAAATTGTTATTAAATTTCTATGATGAATTTGTATTAAAGAGCTGATATCATTTGTATTGTGTTTAGTAATGTAATTACTGATAAAACTTAAATTGCTGACAGAAATTGCTGATACATGTTTTTATGATTGTACAACATATTTAATTTAACTCTGTAGCATTTTGAATTTTATTTTATAGATGGTTCAGGCATTTTCAGCCAGCCCAGTGGAAATGGAAGTTGAAAAGGGAGGTCGGTTTTCTCTATTGCATGGAAATATAACTGGCGATTTTGTAGAATTGGTAAGCATATTAATTTCTTTTTCATTCATTAAGGATGATATCAGAGTAAGATTATCTGCCCCTTCTCTGTAGTTTGCTTCTGGTTGGAAGATTCCTTACACAGCTGACCTAGTAGTACATGTAGATCAAATATAAAATTCTAACTTCAATAGAAAATCAATTCATTAACATACCTAAATATTTAGAGAAGATATGATAAGTAAGATGTATTTCTGTGTTCTGTGAACTGAAGTGATTTTTCAATTTTTTTAACATTAAAATTATCATTTATCCACATGCAAACATGGGAGATTATATTAGTCTTATCACTCTGGAATAACAAACATCAACCTTTTATGAACATTTTTATGCACACATCAGAAGATTCATGATACAAAAATGCAAAATTAATAGAAATCATCAAACTCAATTTTTTTTTTTTAAACATTTTTTTAAAATCGATTTTTAAACACTTTATCAGTGTGACATCATGTTACAGCTGTATACTATTATGACATTACAGAACAGTTACATATACATCACATCACATTACAGCTGTTATCACTTAAAACACATTGCAGCTACATTGTACATTACAGAACAGATGTACATGTATATCACTGTGATATACACATTTGCATTCCATTGACACATGAATTGGATACATAATATGCAATTAGGTTCTCTTCACTTCATAATTGTAAGCAAATGCCAGAGAGTTACATGTACTTCCTTTATTTTATAGTATATGCATTCTTCACAAAAAATGGGAAGTTCGAATTGTTCCATTGTCAGCCTTTCTTGTGACAGTTCTTTACAAGTGTTAATGTTATGAACATTATGAGTGCAGTAATAGCTATATCCATTGTTATCTAAGATATATATTTCAATTAATATAGTAGTAAAAATTGTAACCTATGAAAATATTTTGCAGATACCTAATCAGAAAATAGTACAGCGTTGGAGAGTGAAATCATGGCCAGATGCTCATTATTCTACAGTGACTTTTGAATTTGATGAAAAAGATGACTGTACTGTGCTTAACTATACACAGACTGGTGTTCCTGACACAGAATATGAGAAAACAAAAGAAGGCTGGTCCATCAACTATTGGAACAGAATGAAACAAGTGTTTGGATTTGGCTCCAGTATATACTAATGAAAAGAAAATCTAAAATAAATATTCTAAAATTCACGAATTCTGAGAAATCTCTCCAAGGGTATCTTGCATTAATATTGAGAAATGGTTTGAACAACACAAGAAGAATTTATTTTTGAAGTGCTGTACATATATCACTGTAAGACTTTATCATCAGTGATCTATTATTGCATTACTGGCACAGCACACATTGTATCTTGATACATTATTGGGGTTTATTGTGTCAGGGTGTACATACTTTGTAAAGAAGAATTTGCTTCGATTTTCTGTTCCCTTCTCGTCTTAGTTTTAGAGTTCCCTTTCATTTTTTTACACTTTAAAAAACAGTTTATCATGCAGATTATGTCGAATTCTTCAACCTACATTGCGCATATCCCTGGATAAACATTTTTTCAAGGTCATATTTATTGAAGAGATATATATATCATACACCACATCAGCCAGAGCCATACCATAGTCCTACAGGATGCCTGCATACCTACAAAATTATATATATATATATATATATATATATAATGCAATTCATTGAATCCCGTACCATTATTCATCCTCTGGACAGTATTACATAAGGTACATTTTTCATCTGTATGACATTTTTTTTATTGCAAAATATTTATCAAAATAAAATTCATATGAACTTAAAGATAGGCAACCTGTCATCAATATTTATTTATACATGAACTAAGCTTTTTGTTCATTCAGTTGCCATTAAATAAAAATATGTGCAAGTTTCTAAAATACACACACTATCACACTTTGTGTTTTATATTAGGAGAGCAAGGTGACTGACATGTTTTATAACAATGCGATTACAAAATGTATACTAATAATTGAAACTTGTTTCTCTTCTTATTTTATATGCTTAGTGCTTTTATTGACAAACATGCAATGAAATCTTTGGTTTGTTTCAAAACTTTACTGGAAAATTATGACTTTATGAAGTCCAGGCTTATTATAAGGTTATGGTCAATGTCATGCATAAATGTTAAAAAAGAACTAAATTGTCATGTAAGTATTTACAGCTGCTGAGGATATTGTGTTTCATTTAATTAACATACATATTACATCCTGTGATAAATATTATACTATTCAGGTTCAGTATTAATTAAACTATTTGATTTTCAATGTTCCAGATTGTTTTTAGGTCAGATCTGTGAAATATGAGAAAAAAGTATATTTTGTAACAGTTGACACTGTGTTCATTTCAAACTTTTATATTTTGATTGTACTTGATTTTCATTTATGCACTTAGATATGCATTTTTATATATATATACTCCAGGTCAAGTGCAACATAGACATTTTTTTTTCATTCCAGGGGTTCATTATATAATTCTTACATGAAAGTCATGTGTACTGTAATTTTGTAAACTATTTGATACCAATAAGTGAGAAAGTTGTATCATCCTTGCCTACACTTTTTAAATACATTTAATACCAATGGAGAGGATTTATATGTAGAGTACAGGTTACATACATTGAGTGTTCATCAAAGTTTGAATTAAGTATTTTGCATTTTAAATGAAGCCATTTCCTTTCTGTTGATACATGTGTGACAGGTTTATTTCAAGTAAAAAAAAAATGAAACTTTGTTGCTTGAATTTTTTTTTAGATATTGTTTTTTCTGAGAAGAATCCTCAAGTAGTGTAAATTTATTTTTTAAACATTGCATTTGGGGGAAAGAAACTGGGGGGATAAGCTGAGCCATATGCCTACATAACGATCGATAAAAAATCAGTAAATTCATTTTAAAAAAAATTCACTTACTGTAATTCGAACAATTGAGAGATTTTTTCCAATAAATGTTCTTGCATAGCCGAAAAATGGGCATGGGCACATGGCTCGTCTTCTTCCCCCAGATTCTTTTGGGCCACATTAGTGCATCGAATTTTTATGTGGGGATATTTAAAAATCTGATGAAAATCAGAAGGGTCATGACTTGCCATGTATAATAATTATGCAAGCATTCTAAGGTTGTGTTTATTTAAGGTTTTTGTTTGAATCATGGCCTTCTTGGGTAGAGTGGCTACAAACTATGGCCCAGGATTTCAAGTTTCACTAAGGATTCAAATATTCACTTTGAATATATACAGTGTAGGACAAAACTTTTAGTGCGGATTCATATTTGTTCAATTTATGGTCCCTGGGGCAAGAAAGGGCTGGAATATGCTTCAAAATTTCATGTGGGAAAAAAATACAGGATTCTAAAAAGAATTTAAAAATAGCAGGGTGACACTTATTCACATTGATACAAACATTTCTATTTCGTGTGTAATACACAGTCTAGGGAACAGTAAAGTTCCACTTATGGTGGAAAAATAGGGTCTGTAAATCTTTCTGACTTTCACTTTGTTATTTGGAGTTTAAAGTATTGCAAAGTATTTGACGCGCAGTGAAAGCATTGGGTTATTTGGGGACACTACATACCTGCAAACCTTTTCAAAATAGAGGCCTGGATGAATGAAAATATCTATTCTCATGACTTCATTATCATAGATTCTTTATGCTTTTTGCAAACGTATGATATTCTTTCATTTGTAATCTGAAATATTTTTGAATATGTATATATATTATAAAACATGCAACTAAGGACAAAGGGAAACAAAACAAAGATAAAATTCATAGCCCTAGGACATGAGAGTGAACAGTGATCAGTGAACCATCTTTTAAATACAGTAGACAAAGTGAATCGTGAACAGCAAAAACACGGAAACAGCAGAGTAGGGATCAGGTGCTTAGGAGGAGTGAACATCTCGTGTCGACCGGTCACACCCGCTGTTAGCTTATGTATTGATCAGGTAGACAGAGTAATCTTAAGTAAAAATTTAGTACAAAAGCAAAGGCCTAACTAATGGTAGGAAACATGTCAGACAAAATACGACCCAACGATAGGTTTTATATACAAAGTAATTATAACGACCTTGGCATTTGCGAAAAGCTGACTTTTAACGGGGTTCTTGAAGTCCTTGTAACATCATCTTTTTTTCAGTACCTTGGCTCGGTTTAAAAATTATTGTGCTCAGAGCATGCTCTTGGGTATAAAATCAATTGGGAAACATAAACACCACATACGTTATACCAAATATTGTTACATAAGGGAAGTTGACGATGGAAAAGCTGAAGTCATCCCGTTTGATTTGTAACACATTCGTTGGCCATTATCGCCGAAAATGAATAAATACAAGGATCTGGTTGCAGGTGGATCCTCCATCAACGGGGCTGGAGAGTATGGGATATCCCAGTGGAAGTTGGATGCCGTGAATTTGTAGGGCAATCTATGGATGTGGAGGGCCTTGCGGATTGTTGGTGGAACAGGCACTGAGTGACGCCTGGGTAGAGAGGCAGAAATGGCATCCATGTGGACATGGAAGAAGCGAGAAGAGCAGTGGAAAGTGCAACACTAAGACTATGTGTTAGTGAATGAACATTCAATGTGTTGCAGTGAAGGCGGAGACCCAGTCGGCATACCTCTAGAGCTTGTAGTGGACAACACCGAAACAACCGTTGAAGGAGGATCCATCTGAGGTCGGGGTCACGACGCATCATGTACCATCAAGATGTATACAGGTATTAGTCAATAAAACATCCAAATATTTAATTTAAACAATATTTTATTATGCATAATCATAATAGGATTGGACAGCAGGCACTGCCTGTATATAAGTCCTCTCCATCCAAATATGAAACAGATGTGGCAGAAACTGCTGTGTCTCTTATTTCAAGTTCAGTTGGATATATTAGTTCGATATTTGAATGAAAGTAACTTATTAATTGATAAAATGTCAATATATGTAATTGTTGAATTGATGGCCATATCAAGAGTTGTCTTCTCGTGTAAGAGAAGACCGGGTTTCCGAAGACTATATAAATATTGTTAACGAGAAACTTCAGCATCATTTTAATAGCGACTTCACAATACTTGTATGTGGCTGAATCAGAATGATTTATAGACGACCAATCACAAGATGTGAAAATTTACCAGATCCATTTTTATTAAGGAAGCAGTTGTCTATGATGTAAAAAAAAAAACCCACCTGTTTTAGCGCAAAAAACAGAGAAAAGCCATATGATTTAATGCTATTGATGTTTAAAAAGTTTTCAGATTTTAAATTTTCCAAAAGTTCTATGGAGATTTTTAGAATTCACATTTAATCTATACCACTTGATTTTAATTATAAGTTTTTAGCTCTACTGGTCAGAGAATAGAAGAGCTTATGCGACAGTAAGGTGTCCGTCGTCCGTCCATCTGTCTAGCTGTCCGTCCGTCTGTAAACAATTTTTCAAAACGCCACTCCTCCCACAGTTTTGGCCTGATTTCAATGTAACTTGACACATAAGTAGACTACACTAAGATAGATAGTTCTGTGTATCGGTTTTTGATTTCAATAAACGATGTTGCCATGGTTACTAAAATAGAGATTTCTGGGAAAACTTTCAAAATGCTACTTCTCCTGCAGATTTGGTCTGATTTCAGTATTACTTGGCACACAAGTAGACTACACTAAGATACATAATTCTTTTTATCGGTTTTTGATTTTCAATGAACGGTGTTGCCATGGTTACTAAAAAATTGGAAATTTCTGTAAAAAACTTTCAAAATGCTAATTCTCCTACAGTTTTGATCTGATTTCAATATTAATAACTAAGCACACAAAGAGGCTGCACTAAGATACGTAATTCTACTACGTGTATTGGCTTTTGATTTTAATGAAGGATGTTGCCAAGGTTACTAAAAATAGAAATTTCTGTGAAATACTTTTAAAACCTTACTACTCCCACAGTTTTTGTCTGATTTCAGTGTAACTTGGCACACAAGTAGACTACACTAAGACACATAATTTTCTATATCAACTTTTGATTTTGATGAATGATGTTGCCGTGGTTACTAAAAAATTGAAATGTTCTTGAAATACTTTCAAAACACTACTCCTCCTACAGTTTTGGTCTGATTTCAATAGAACGTACTTGGCACACTCTTAGACTTTACTAAAAAACATTATTGTCTTTATTGTTTTTTTTATTTTGTTGAATGATGATGCCATGGTTACTAAAATTGAAATTCCTGTTAAATTCTTTTAAAAGGTTACCCCTCCTGCAGTTTTAGTCTGATTACAATCTTGCCACAAAAAGAGACTAAATTAAGGGTAATTATTCTGTTTATTGCTGTTGCAAAGTTTCATGTCCAAGTGCTACTTTTCTCTTCCTTTGTTATATGTACAAACCAACAGAGCTTCAGTATCGACAGAGAGTTCTGGTTAAGAAATGTTATTGCAGTAGTGTGATGGAGAGGTTGTAAAATATGTTATGTCTATTGGATTAGGTACAAGTCGAAGATCGAATGAATTTCTTTTGCATCAAAATACTAGTAATTAAATTCAATCAAATCTGGAAATGTTTCAATTAAATTAATTTTTGAGGAAATATTAAGGGAAGAAGTATAATGTTTATAGTGCATATTGTTTTTATGAGTGTTAGATAAATTAAGCCGATCTTGAGCTTAGATCTGAAAAAAAAATGAATTTCTTTTCCGACGGAATTGCTGTTTATACATTTAAAACATAATTAAACAGATCTGAAAATTATATTATTTATTCGCTTGAGGATATATTAATTGCAGAGTGTGATGTTGAAAACTGTGGTAATGAATGAACGTATATCTTTCATTGATTTAAAGTGCAAATTCAAGTGTATACTGTGCACACATCGGTTTTAGATTAACTAAGATCTATATTTTTTCCTAATTGTATTGAATGTTTTTGTTTTTAGCTCTTTTGAGCCAAAGGCTCAAAAAGCGAATGTTATGGTTTTTGTGCGGTGTGTATAAACTTTTTGGAATATGGACAATACTTCAAGATCCCCTTGGTCATTTTTATCAAATTTGTCACAGAGTAACCTGGCCCAAGGGCTTTCATTATACTAAAAATAGGAATGTGACCCTTAAACAAGAGGAGATAATTTGGGAAATAAACACAAAAGTAGTGATTGCTCAGAAATCTTCCTCTCAAAAACCACTGGGCAGATTGTCACCAAACTTACGCATAATGCAGATTAAAAATTGCTCAAGGCAACACTTTGGGGCAAAGGTCGTGGTCTCAAGGTCTCTTCAAAGTTAACCTAAATTCATGTCTTGTAAAAAGTTTGATATTTTGTCCACTTAAAGGATTGTGAACATCAAATCTTGTCAGTTGATGCATCTTAGGACCTCATGTCTTGTTGACTCAAAAGTAGGTCACGATGACGTACTTTTTGAATTTTAAGGGTATTCATTTTCAATTTGGTTTTGATGCACATCTTGAACACTAGGTAGCCTAAATAAATATGATCATGAATACACATTGTTTTAAAATACACGAGATCATTCCATTTGAACTTTATCCTTAGCCAAAAGATTGCATCAAGTATGTCTTTATATAATTACTGGTCAGCACATCATGGCCAAGAAAGGAAATATATATCTATCTACACAATTGTACATTTACCTATTCATTTCATTTAATTCTATTTAAAGTATGACATTGTCGCCCGTTGTCGCCCGGGTGGCGCAGTAGTTAGAGCGTCTGCTGTAGAGTCTTGGAGTAAGGAGTTGATCCT